AGTAAGTGGGGCCCACACAAAATTATGAATTCAATTCTTTGGTGGGATGTGGTATTCTAATTCCTGAAAAATTCACCCATTAGGAATTCATCTTTTTTACCCATTATATCCTCACACAATTTTCAAAATTCCAAATCTGCCATCTACTTTAACCTAACAATGAGGACATTTTAGTAATTAGTACCACTCATAACTCAATTCCATATGGTTTAGTAAACAACTTCAATAGGAATCCAGAATCTAACTCCCCTTAATCCATATGGTTTAGTAAACAACTTCATTAGGAATCTAGAATTTAATTCTCCTCAATTCAACTCCTCCTCAATTCAATTAATCCTCAATTCAATTCCTCATAATCCAATTGCGGATTAGTAAACATGCCACTACAGTAGAGTAGTTTTTATCACATGACGATGTTGAGTGACAAGAACAATCCGAAAAGAGTCGGCAACCTTACTATAATCCCTCATTATAGTCTTCATGTATTAAATATGATAACAATTGGAGTATCACATATAACATTTTGTTCATGACATACCAATTCTTGGACTTTATTATGAGTTATAAAAAATAAAATAAAAATTCAAAAGAATGGCTTTTTGGTCATTTACAAATTTGATAATTCAATTGTTACTAAAAGAAAAAAAAAAGAAAAAAGGGAAATTATAGTTCAATGTAAAAACCCTTCTTGTTTGCCTAAAACCCTCACAGACACAGCAAGCAATCGCAACGCCACCACCATCACCATGAGTCTAATAGCAGGCTCATACGAGAAATTCATATGGGGCTTCAAGCTCAAATCCCTAAAACCCAACCCTGATTCTCAATCCCTAACCCTAACCCCACTCTTCTCCTACCCCTCCCACCTCTCCTCCATCACCACAGTTGCCACCGCTGGCTCTGCCGCGGCCTCCGGTGGCTCCGATGACACCATCCACCTCTACGACATGTCGTCCGCCACCTCCCTGGGCTCTCTCCACGACCACTCCGCCACCGTCACCTCCCTCTCCTTCTTCACCCCTCCCCATCTCTCATTTCCTCTCAACCTCGTCTCCGCCGCCGCCGACGGGTCGTTTTGCATCTACGAGGCCGACCCCTTTGTCCTCCTCAAGAGCCTTAAGCCCCACAGGAAGGCCATCAACGACGTGTCGTTGCACCCTTCTGGGAAGTTGGCTCTGACCGTTGGAAAAGACGAGTGCTTGTCGATGATCAACTTGGTGAGGGGTAGGAGGAGCTTCTATTGCAGGTTGGGGAAGGAGGCTAGCTTGGTGACCTACGATGGTTCTGGGGATAAGTTCTACATGGCTATGGAAGACAAGGTTATGGTTCATGAGGCTGAGGATGCTCGGTTGCTTTGCGAGTTGGAGAATTCAAAGCGAGTT